GACAACATTCTACTTCTTTCCTGTTTTGTCATCATTGTCTCTGCAACTTTTCTTTATGAGTTCTGTCTGCATGTGTCCTTCTCTTGCTCAAGCTTTATATCAGACTGCATTTTTTTAAAAGACTGTTGTGTGCATGTTTAATGTGAAGTGTGAATAACCTGTGATGTCAGTGATCGTTGCATGTCATCGACACTATGTTGTTTTCAACGCAGTGTTAAAGGAAGTCTGTTTTTTTTATGTGAATGTTTAGTTTGATTAAGTTTATACAGCCATGTGTGGCATCGTCATGCAAGGCTATTATAAGATCATGTAAAATATGTTTCGACCACAGGAAATTTCCACCACAACGAGGAACCATTGCATGAACTCCTTGTGTTTCCATAAGTTCTGGGGGAATCTTTTTACCCCCCCAAAAGTCCCTGCACAAGTTATAAAAATTCAGTGCATCTATTCCTCCTCTAGGCTGGAAAAAAGAAGTCATTGATAAATGTAAATGGTTTGAATTTGTATTTCAAAGTTGGGCAATGCTGACACCAGAAACTGTCTTTGACCCTTTTTTCCATTTAGTTTTTTCACCACAGAAGTTCTGGCAGGAGAGTACTCAGCACAATCTGTTCAGAGTATGGAGCAGAGGAGTCATGTCACATAAATGCTTCTAGTAATTTAATGAAGATTAAATATGGATATAATAACTAAACAGCCTTCCTGCCATCACTGGCAGAGACCACATTTCTTAATAATGATAATATTTTTACATTATTTAGGCAAAAATCATTGTAAAAAATGTAAAGATCACTTGCTTATCGTGTCACAGACTTCATTACATTAAGTTTTATTTCATTATTTGGTATTTGTTAGAGTTTTGTCTTCTCCTCACATCTCTTTTGTCAACTCATCCAGCCCTGATCAGTCACTGACAGCTCTCCTCTTTCTTATTTTCTCCTACACTCTCAGACATCCCGGACCAGGTGATTCGGGTGTTCAAGGCCGACCAGCAGAGCTGCTACATCATAATCAGTAAGGACACTACTGCCAAGGATGTGGTCACCCACACCGTCAATGAGTTCGGCCTCCTCGCGGCCCCGGAGACCTACTCCCTGTGTGAGGTATCGGTTAGCCCTGAGGGAGTCATAAAGCAGCGGCGCCTGCCCGACCAATTCTCCAAACTGGCTGATAGGATTCAGCTCAACGGCAGGTGAGAAGCAGAGGAATTACACTGCTGTTGAATGTCATACGTAATCAAATGGTTGACTTACATGCCTTATCCTTCCAGAGTGGTTGTGGATTTTTCTCTAAAGTGAGCCCACATGTGTCAGACACTGGAGTGTTTCTGTCTGTACCCAAGGCAACTAACAAAAATACTTAAATAAAGCAGAAAGCAACAATATTCCATGGTCAGAGAAGCACATTAGTCATAGAATAATCTCAATTTTACGGGCCTGGACTAAAACACCTACAAAAGGTATTTAAACAGAGTCTTAGCCTAGATATTAGTTGTCTTGCCCAGAGGCTAACAGTGGGACTGTTGTTGGCTAACTGAAGAATGGTATAACGAAACCAAAACCATGACCCATGATACTTTGCACCATGAGAGATGACATTTATAATTTTTATAAATGTAACTACTGTTTTACCCCTTAAACAGATTTCTAACCATGTGCTATGCAAGAATGTCTTCCTACAACACATCAACTCACCATTTACAGAGACTTCACACCATATAAGTTAAAGTTTAGCTCCACTAGAAAGTTGTTCATGTATAGTGCATGTATATTGATTGAATTCTTCCCGAGCAGCGGCTCGTGTTCCTGGGGACACGGGGTACTATTCTGAGATGTAGTTAGTTCACTCACTGTAGCTTTGCAGAGCTGTAAATCATTTCCCTGAGTAAATGACTCAGAAAAAAGAAGAAAAAAACACTGCAGCGCTCAAGGAGCAGGAGCTCTGCTCAGAGCCACTGTCCCAATTCAGCACAATGATAGATCAAGTGGTGCTGCCCAAGTTGCAGCTGACAACCCACCGTGACGTCAACCATGGTTTGTGAAGTGCTGTTTTAAAGTGTTGAGTTTGGCATTTTTACCAGCGCCATCTTGTTTATTTTTAACCATAAGTAACCATATTTAGAGAAGCGGGGGTGGAGTCTGACCGAGAGATCAAGGACACTGCAACCTGCACCCACTGGACGGTAGTAGCTGTTAATCTCACGGTGTCTTTACACCAACAAATGTTCATCAAGCTCTGTTTAGGAAAAATTTTCCTGATGTGAGAAATACGGTGATTTTCTCAAAGAGGACTTAAAGAAACTGACATATTCTTGCAACCACTGGAGTCGCCCTCTGCTGGTATTGCAAGAGAATACAAGTTTCAGACAATGGACGAGTAGTCCACGTCCATTTTTATAAACTTTCTATGGTGCTACCCTTAAACACAAGCTGCAGTTTGTCTGATTTAAAACTAAAACAACAGTTTGTACTTGACAGTGAGCTGCATGTGATGCTGGTTAAGTGCTGCCATGACATTTTAAAAATTCCCTTGCGTTTTCTGCAGAAGTTTCTACATCACTTACTTGGACCTTAAGTCTTTGAGTGATGTGTGTTTAATTTGTTGCACCATAACACTGACAGTGTGTGTTTTGGTTTTGACGTCTCCCAGTTTGTTGCACATCACACTGTCTTCTCGATGCCAGACACGTTCTCTTTTAAGATGAAAGTTAGTAGGACATGAAGGATAATTGGACGTCAGCCATGAAGTCTGCTTTGGAATGAATCCTCCGTCAGTTTTTCACAGTTGTCTCCCTCTCTTCTCGCCTCCTGTGGTCCCTCATCAGTCCCCCCCAACTAGGTTAGCATAAATATTTCATCCTCCGTCAGGGGCGGAGGCCTCAGCAGACAACATGACACGTCTGGAATAATTCATACACATGCTCGCATGCACAGGCAGCCATAGATACAGATACAGACATCCTTATTCACAGGCACGCATTCATATACATTCAGATGTACTGCACTTACACAGTCATCCATATTTGTATTCAATGATTTAACTTGCATTTGAAGCATGTATTCTTGCAAAGGAAGTCTCAAACATGCGTGTACACAGTCTAACACATTCCCAAACACACTTACTCACTATAAGACTCTTGTTTGATGGATGGCCGAGCTGCAGAGGTAAAAAGCAATTTTTTTTTATCAGTATATGATCATACGTACGTAATGTGAGACGTGAACATGCAGTTTCATCCAACGTCAACATCCAAAGACAAAGACACAACATGCGTAAAATCTAATTTAATGCATTTACCAGGATTTACATGTTGGGCCGGGAAGGATCCATCTGGTGGAGCCTCCGCTGCTCGGTATGGAAGGACACATTTGACGGCCGTATTTGGAGGAGCCTTTGAATTGCGACAGCCTAGTCGTGACGTGTGACATAATTGGTCTACAAATGCAGTTTCCAAAGGATGCGGTCCCCGACTTTAGACACAACAATTTACTATCCAATACCACTGCAAGGACCCATTTACTATGCAATCTCAGAGCCCATCAGCTATCATCTGATGACAAATTAGCCTCTGAGGGACAGTGGCCAATAATTTTTGGGCGTCCGGTGTAGACAGCAGATATCTGGGCCAAGAACTCTGTCTTCCGTTCACCTTACACTGTCGAAGGCCTGTCTAGTTTCTTTTATAACAGTTAAACATTTCTCCACGCAAAACAAATCTCTATTTCAATGTGTCATTGTGCCTCTTTCGCTCTCCACACGGACTGTTTACCCGAGCGCAACCAAAGCCTGCTCAAACATGATTGGTCAAACTGGAAATTGTAACCAGAAGGCTTCCGGCCAAAGAATCTTGTCCCTCGCCAACAGATTCTGCATATTCATATACAGAATTCATATTTGTAAATGTAAAGAGTTCTAACCTGATGTTATTTTACAACAGTGGGCTCTACAGGGTTAACTGTAGAGCTATGAGCAAGCAGCATCTGTAGATCTCCACTTTTAAATGCATATGTCTGTATTTTTCTTCATCTCCTACACTAGTTGTTATTTCTTACAAAGTAAGTATTTGCCTTTAGTGATTGTGTATCTTGTTTCTCTTACTCACACACTGTCAAACTGGCAGTAGTTTTACAGATATATATGTATGCACACTTACACATTGTGCAGTGTCAGCAGGATGTACATGTAGTATGTATTCAGCACAGTTTGCAGTAGTTGTATTTATCAGGAGCAGCAGGCAGATCCATCTTCTCTCCCTGCATCACACACCCAGTCCTCCTCCCCCTGTGTCTCGCCCCTCAGATGACTGACAGGGGGTCTGACAGGGGACCGGCCGAGGCTTCTCCACTCTGCCAAAATACATATAGATGCAGCTGGGGATCCAGAGCCCACACACATAACACACACACACCCACAAACCACCACTGGCTATTTACAATGGCTTGGTTCCAGTCACTTTGCCTCGGCCCCGATCTACTTAGCACCACTTTGTCCATCATTAATTTAATCTCCTCTCCTTTCCTCTCATCTCTTCACTTTGTCCTGTTGCCTCCTCTTTCCTTCCCAGTCTTCTAGTTCTCCCTCACGTCTCCTCACCACTTCTCTCATCTTCTCTCCTTCCATCTACCAGGATGCAGATGTGTCTTCTTTATTTGGTTTCTGTGTATTTTTGAAGCACCTACACGTTCTCAGAAAATCTTAAAACGTCTTAAATCTGCCTGATGCTGCTCTGTAGGTCTTCAGTTCTGCTTGTGAGCTTTTAGAAAAATTGTGACCTGTTTCCTAATGTGAACCAAGTCTTGTGCTTGATACTAAACTTAAACTCTGCTTGATTTTCTCACCTCACACCCTCACATCTCATGTAGCTGCTCTTCTTTTCAGATCTTGCAGCAGAGTAACAAGGAGCGGATCACAACCTTGCTAACACTTGGGGGTGGGGTTTTTAGACTTATAAACATATAAAAGCACATAATGAGGTTAAAGAGATGGTTTGCTGCTGCACGCGCTGCCAGAAAAGTGTTGGAGATCAGACCTAAAAAGAAAAATGGCCCTTTTTTCCTTCTTATTCATGTGCCTGCCATCCTTCGTACCTCTCTGTTGCTGAGAGCCTCTCTCTGCTCCGTCCCTCTTAACACCAAATTGAAATATGGCAGAAATTTGTCAATATAATCGGAGCATTTTTCAACCTCTGCTCAAACTAATCTTAAGCTGGACAAGCAAAATGTGTCCATTTAAAATGAGACGTGAATGAGAGGGCCATTTCGGAGATTTATCTGGGTTTCTTCTGGAGATAGAGCCGGCTGACAAACTGGATCCTGTCCACCCACTCGTCTGCCTCTGCAGCCTGTGTTAAGGCATCAGCGGAGATGCTGCAGCTCAAAGTCTCTTCTGTAGCTCTAAAAGCGCACATTTTACCATCATAGAAATATAATTGTATTTTACATCCTGCTTATCTCTTTATGGTCACTGTCACTTGGCCCCCCTCCCATTCCAGCATTTCTTTTCATTAAGTGGTTTCTCAAATATTACACACATTGTGGGTGTGAAAAATTGCAGAGAAGTGTGAGATCATCAGATCATTTTTACTAATGAATAACTTCTTACGAAAACTAAGGCATTATATATTGGTTTTCATTTGTTACAACAAGATGTAATGAAAGAAGCTAGACTTTTTTTCTTTGTGACACTGAGCTATTAAAAGAATAAAAACACAGAAATTATATTTTGACCTCATAGAATGATTCAACTTCTTCCCGCTTCTTCCTCTGCCCTGCAGGTACTACCTGAAGAACAACATGGAGACAGAGACGCTGTGTTCTGACGAGGACGCCCAGGACCTCCTCAGAGAGAGTCAGATCTCTCTGCTGCAGCTCAGCACCATGGAGGTCGCTGCCCAGCTCTCCATGAGAGATTTTGAGCTCTTCAGGAACATCGAGTCCACAGAGTATGCGATCGTTTAGCATTTTGATTGAGAATATGCAGGAGGTTTTTATTGCTCTGATAGCCTAGTATTATATTTGTTGCAAAAATGACTCTCATTCTTTGTCATGGCTCCCAGGTACGTGGACGACTTATTTAAGCTGGACTCGTCAGTGGGCAGTGGAAATCTGAAACAGTTTGAGGAGGTGATCAACCAGGAGACTTTCTGGGTCGCCACAGAGATCCTGAAGGAGCCCAACGCCCTGAAGAGGATGAAGACCATCAAGCACTTCATCAAGATCGCCCTGCATTGCAGAGAGTGCAAGAACTTTAACTCCATGTTCGCTATTATCAGGTGAGCTCACTGCTGAAACGGTCTGAGTGTGAGTGTGTAAGTGTTTGTGAGTGTGTATGTCACATTGTTTCATCATCAAGTCGAGCAGTTGCACCAAAGCAGGATTCTTGTTCAGCGATGGCAGCGAGTCTTTATTCCATGTCCCCTGACAGCTTTTGTGTCAAATGAGCTTTGGCTTCTCGCCTCTTTCCCTCACATCCTCCAGAGACTCATCCTCACCTCCTCCCCTCTGCCTCCCTCCCTCCCTCTCCTGTCGTCTCACTGAATCAGCCCCGAGTCGCCCAAACCACAGAGACTCTGCAGCCTCACACCATTTAAAACCAGACTCCCACAGCAACAGTTGCTGTTTGCAGCTTGTTGTTAATTTCCTCTGGCCTCTTGTTGTTTGGCTGAACCCAGAGGTGTGATGGTACTTAAACCTAACAGTATCTGTGTGTATTCATGAGCTAGTGTAGTGTTGTGCACAGGCTACTATTTTTACCATAATCAATTTTTTGTACATTTTTATGTACAGATTATGAGTAGAGATTGGATAACTGCAGCATAAATGTCTCCGTAGATGCAAATATACTGTGATTGACAAAGTGATTTCTGCAACACAACGTTCTTTCGGCTTGTTTTCCTACTGTGCCAAGAAAGATATTTAGGCCGTGGTGGAAACGCAGGAAAAAAACTGCTCTGCAGGGACCTTTTAGTTCCTTGAAAGGGACTTCTGCATACTTTTGATCAGAAATGTGGCTCAAGAGAGCAGAAGTAAATGATGTGCCTGTCATAATTCTGAGTCGTATGGAGTCTCAAGTGCCTCAAGGGGTCCTCTTCTCTTGAAAAAGAAAGAACCCACTAATCCAAGATCTTTAGTTCAAAAAGTGGTAACTATTAATTTTCATATGGGGATTTGATTGGGATTTAGTCTTTTATATTGTATTGAATGATCATGCTTAAACCTTATTCGTTTCTTCCTTCTCCTCTCTCCTCATTTCCCCCTCCGGCTTCTTCACTTTTTCCTCTCCCGTTCCCCTCCCGCCCTCTTTTTACACCATAACTAATTTTTCTCTGCCTCCCTGCTTCCCCACGCTCTCCTCGCACCTCCTCCTTTCTCCCTCTCATGCAGCGGTCTGAACTTGGCCCCAGTGGCTCGGCTGCGGAGCTCGTGGGAGAAGTTGCCCAGCAAGTACGAGAAGCTGTTCAGCGACCTGCAGGACGTCTTCGACCCGTCCAGGAACATGGCCAAGTACCGCAATACCCTGAGCAGCCAGAGCATGCAGCCTCCCATCATCCCTCTGTTCCCGGTGGTCAAGAAAGACCTCACCTTTTTACATGAAGGTAAAAATAGGCTTTGTGGATAGAACTGAATTTCACTATGTGCATATTTTTTCTTTGCGTTGTTACTGCATTTCCCTGAGAGGTCATTGTTGATGCTTTACAAGTCATTCTGCTCAGTCTGAAGCTCCCTACTTCCTCTGTGTTGTGCAGAAGGTCGGTTTCAGGCTCAGTTTACTTCTGCTAAAGACTTCCCCATCTTGCATCAAAACGACCAAAATTTACTTCTCCTTAAAGATCATGTCTTTAAAAAAATATATATTTATGGACTTGTAAGGAAACGTTTATGTGATTGTGCAACATGCAGAAAATTCTTTAATGGCCCAGTGTGACTCAGAATAAAAGAAAAGACGACACTTTGATCTCCTGGGGGAAAGAGACCAGAGCAAAGACTTTGAAAATATTTCTTGAAAAATACTTTTATTCTGGCACTGCATCTTGTGAATGTCCAGAAATATGAATCATTTATCTCTTCTACATTGTTGACAGCCGACTTTACACTTACCCATTTGCATGCGTTACTTTTCGTCCTCCCAGGCAACGACTCCAGTGTCGACGGTCTCGTGAACTTTGAGAAGTTGAGGATGATCGCCAAGGAGATCAGACATGTGGTGCGGATGACCTCTGCCAACATGGACCCGGCTCTCATGTTCAGACAGAGGTTGGTTGTTCTGATACCACGATGCCTAAAAACCTTTTTCCTTTCAAGATTTACCATTTTCGATTAAGATGACTGTTGGAGCCAATTTTTCAGATATGTCACTTCAAGTTTTTCCAATTCCGAAGTAATGAATTTTAAGGTCCCTATGTGTCGATTTTTTTGTGATTATAAGATGTAAATGATTTTGGTGGGTCTTTATCGTAACAAGTTAAGTGGTTTAAAAAAACCTCCACTTATTTACTGTCAAGGATGAACTTCAATTGAAGTCTGGGTTTTTTTTCATTTATTTCTCTTTAAGTTAAATCATCTCTATGATCTGAGCATCTTTGAAACTGGCTCTTCCAGTTTTTCATCAGTCAAACTGTAACAAACTTGATGCTTCTCAGAAAGAGGCAGGAATGTTGAAAGTCATGCATTGCAAAGTAGTTTCCAGGTTATAAAAATAAAGACAAAACTGTGTGGGCAAAAAGGGAACCACTACACCATACCTCCACCAGCTGACCTGGATCCTTCACTAGAGGATCAGGAACACACTTGAGGTCTTGTTCGATCAATTCCTACTCACTTCCTGTCTCGTTTGTGACTCTCGGGTGTTTCGATTGCATTCCTCAGCTGAAATGTAACTGTTCGATCACCCGGGGCACGGTTCACTGGGAAGAGAGGTAGAATTGATGCCAACCGCAGTGTGTAGTTTGTATCACTCCGTCTGTGTGTGCGTCTCTCACAGTGTCACTGCTGCAGAGCATGACTCCCCCCTGCAGACACTCTCTTCATACTGCAAGACATCATAGATATGTTTTTCACTTTTTTTTAGACTTTAAATAAATCATGTAGGACTAAAGTTTTTCCAATGTAAACACAGTTTTGATGAGTGCGTGATGCACAAAGACACCACACACATTCCTCAGGTTGATATGGGGAGATGTCCTATGTCTGGTTGTCCTCCCATCGCCCATCATTGACTGTCTGTGGTGGCATGACCTCTACATAGTCTTGTCTCCTCCCCCCTCCTCCCCCCATGACCCTTGAACTTGTCTTTAAGTCACGCTTCAATCTTCACACCTCTTGCTTGCAGGAAGAAGAGGTGGAAGAGTTTAGGGTAAGTTTGTCCTGGTACTGGTTTCATGCTGTTTCAGTCTGGACGGGCAAAAAAACTAAAAAATGCACCCCACCCCCCACTGCACCCCCACCACCATAAACTCTGCATGCTCCCTGACGTTAATAAATCGGTGTGCACCTGTGTGTGCCCCCTGCTTGTGTGTGTGATTAACCCTTCCATTTGCAGTGCCCATTCAGCTGAAGTCCATCATTGACCCATTCATTCCCCTGTCCATGTTCATAAGATTGTATGTTTTTGAGTCATATAGTAGCTTGAAATAATACTTTGAGTTTGTTTTTACCATGAGGTTGCAAACATGTTTACATGGTGACAATTTATTGTCTATATCCATATACATGTATAAATGTGACTCGTTTCTTGAGTCAGGGAGAAAGGATGAACTTATCTACTCGGATAAAACAGCTCCTCATGTCTTTTGGCATTTACACCCTTACGTGATGTCTAGAGTAGACTAGGGTGGAGGCTGGATACAGTGAATCACAGAAAATACACCTATCGACTGCTACTGAGAGAGGAGAGGCATGATTGGCTGAATGAGATCAAGGCATGATCTGATTGGAATCTTGAAAACGCACATGATCAGGTGATTAAGAGGCATAGATAGAGAGAGAATTGTGAATGATTGATTATGAGAAGATTTTCTTTACTTGCGAGCTTCATTTGTGGAGCGCTTTGATAACTTTTGGTCCAAATTGGCCTAAAAGCTGAAGTTCATTTTTAACTTTAGGAGAAACCAGAAGAGGCAGGAAGTCCGTTAAGTAGCCACTCTGGAGCTTTCAGTCATATCAAATGATCTTCAGCAGCTTTGCACATCAGCTTTTCAACCAAAAGCACAGAGAAAGTCCTGAAATTTCAATTTGTACAATTCAATTGCAAAAAGACAAACTTCCCGTGCTGCTGATGATCATGTGATGTAACTGAAAACTCCAGAACAGCTTCTAAATTAACCAACAGGTGTAATTGTGCTGTCAGCTGCTGATTCCAGGGTAAAAATTGAACTTTGAAGCTTAAAACTCAAACCCAAACTTAAACAAACCATGAGAAATGTTGACGGATGCTATTTGACTCAGATTCTGTTTGTCCGTTTGCATCCTGGCATCATAATAATATTCCCCATATCAGATCTTGTGCATCTTGTTCCCTAACCCTTTTTGCCTCCAACTGACAGAATGCTCTGTTCTGTGATAGCATGGCACGCCCACAACAACTGCCTCTCTCCCAGTTGCATGGTCCTGTTTTTACATGCTATGCTCCAACACAGAGACAGATATACCGATTTAATATTTGAAGAGGTGGTGACAAAGCACTTGTACCTATTTTATTGTCGATTGTAGTGATTGTAGTTTATCCTTTTTTCCTTCCCTCTCTCAACCTGCCTGTTGTTTCCTGTCTTTATACTTTCATGCATTTCTTCTGTTTTCTGTCTTCATCTATCGTCCATATCTTTCTCAACATTTCATCTTCTGCTCATCCATCAACTATTTCTCTAAATTTCTCCCTCATCAAATCTATCTTCTACTCTTTCCTTCAATCTTTTACTTCCTCTCCTACTTCTCTTTCTTCCTCTGATTTCTTCTTCTCATCATCCTCCTCCCTCTTCTTCCTCGCTTTCTTTCCTTCATCGTCAGGTCTCTGAGTCAGGGCAGCACCAACTCCAACATGCTGGACGTGCAGGGCGGAGCCCACAAGAAGCGAGTGCGTCGCAGCTCGCTCCTCAATGCCAAGAAGTTGTATGAGGACGCCCAGATGGCCAGAAAGGTGAAGCAGTACCTGTCCAACTTGATGGTGGAGTCGGATGAGGAGAAACATCAAATCATGTCCCTGCAGTGCGAGCCGGCCTACAGCACCTGTGAGTTACACAGACCCAACACTGACATACTGAATAATATATAAACTTTGATCTTCAGCTCTACTTGGTTCTCAGAGGGACATTAGCACATGTACTGTGTGTGCACATGTGCCTGTTATAGAATCATTCAGAAGTACAAGTGCATTTGATTAAACATGGCCAAAATGTAGTTTAGCATTATTCAAAGCATTTTTTACGTACGTATTCTACATACGGACTAAAATGCATTGCAGTATTTCAATATTTTGTGTCATTTCACAGGGTCATAATAGAGTTGTCAGAGTAACCTTTACACAGGTTATATACATATCATTGGTTTGCACTGCCACCTAGTGTATTTAAAAACACCTTGCAGAAAATAACAGGAGGGAACTGATCCAGTCGATGTAACAGATACTGCAGTGTGTCCGATGTGTGTGGTATTGTTCAAAGCATCCACACAGAACCATGGGACTTTCTTTTCTTCAAGGTTTAGCAAAACTCAAGTATGATAATTGTAACAGTGCATTGGCTCAATGAACTACCACATATCATATCTGTGACAGTGCCACAGTATGTGAAAGGCTGCACTTCATGGCTCCTGCTTAGGTCTTTTCCACATTCAGGTACATTTTTAAAGGTATACAGATTGATTATTTGTTGATATTTCACCAGCGCTGACATACCTCACAGTGAATACTGAACCACCTGGAACTGAACAGTAGTGAGAACTCAACAGTTAGAAAATGTAAAATGTTTAATGCTTTGTTCTGTTTACACATTTCTCTTCTTCGTGTGGTTTTAGTGTCCAAGAGCTTGAGTGAGAGACGATCCACCAAGTCGGACATGTCTCCGGTGTCTCTGCGGTCGGCTTTGCCGTCTGGGAAAACACAGAACCGGGTTTCACAAGTCCTTCAGGTCCAGGTCCCACTGAACCATCTACGAAAGAAGAGCACTGCCAAGGACATCGGCACACCGAGTGAGTACACCTGTAGACTATGTATTCATAAAGCAGTTTTACACTGTAAAATCAAGACAAAACTATCCAGCAAAATAAGATTGAATAAAAAGAGGTAAAAAGTAAAAAAGAGCATTAATAAACCCTTTTAAACCTTTAAAACCATTAAAAAGCCTAAAATCATTATCAAAGTACAAATATTCATACTAACACCTCATTCTGTGTTATGGTTGTTGGTGTATAACAGACTCTTAAGTTAATTTACCTTTTTGTAAACTTGTTTCTTCGGCTTCTCCAGACTCCAATTCTCCCCAGGTGGTGAAGAAACCGCCGGTGAACTCTTCAGAGGAGTGGAGCACCAAGAGACCATCTGATGACACCGTCTCCACCATCTCCTCCCTTCACTCCAGCCCCACAGTGTCACCGCAGGGCTCTCCACGCAAAGGTCTGCAGTAACACACTGTGCTTTTCACCCTGTGTGTTTCTATCAGAGGAAACTTGCCCTCGGTGAAGACAGCCGAGAGTAGATGTGGTGAAACGTCACCTCCAGGCAGTGATGAAAGTTTTAAGCAGGAACCTTGTCTCGAGTAAAATTCAATGCATGTAAAGTTTTGTGTTAAATTTATTGTTATTTCTTCTTTCTTTCCTTTTTGTTACATGTTTTTTGCCATTAATCTAATCACAGAGGACCTTGTGTGCACCCCCAGCAGCCTTTTCTTAACTTTGAAAATAAAAGCATAACCTTTATTTCCATCTCTCACTTTCCACTCTCCTTTTCAGTGGGAGGCGTGGCCAAGTCCCAGAACTCCAGCCAGATGAACTTGTCGGGATCTTCGTCGTCACTGACCAGCGACGCAAGCACAAAGGCCGGCACCGTCAGCCTGCGCAGCTACGGCATAGGTGGGGCTCTCCTCCACAAGAGGATCCTTCTCATGACCATGCAGCAGAGACAAGAGAGTAACAGGGAGAAAGAGAATCAGACACAGGAGGTGGAGAAGAGAACTGAAGTGGAAAAAGAGTCAGAGCAGATGATGCAGGTGGAGACAGAGGTGGTTCAGAGAGGAGCATTTCCTTCAGGGCAAAGACAAGGGAGAAGGCGAATTTTACTGAGGGCAAGTACAGAAAGCCCCGCACAGAGATTGACAGGGGTGCATCGGGTGCTTCACACTGGTTCCCCTCTCACTCCTCCAGGGCCGGTACCCTCGACCCTGTCACCTCCCTCCCAGCCCGAGTTGTTAATGAGCCCAAAGCCCCCAGAGTTCCCCAACAGGAAAAGGCTCCTTTCCCCATTCAGAATGCTGAGGAAAAGAAGTCAGTCCAGGGAGAACCTAATGCCAGTCAGGCCACATCTGGATGGTGGGGAGGCAGCCGGTAAGGTTGAGTCCTCCTCACCCCAGGATGAGAGACACGGACAGGCAGAGAAGAGAGCCAGGAGGTCGCTCAGCCCCAACCCGTTCCTCTGGCTCTGCGGGGGCAGACACACCAGGAGGGAGACTGATAGAGTGATCGATCAGTGATTGATCCAGTCATGTCCTGAGTAAAACTGATTTGAGGGAGGTATTTCAGAGAGACTTTTAGTTGAAGTTTCAGTAAATTTTGAGAATCTGCCACAAAAAATTTGTTAAAGAGATGGCACATTTCATTTTTGAAGCACCAGTGTTACTTGAGAGTCAAGAGTTTCAGTTCCATCCATCGTCAAAGCAGATATGAGGAAGTAGAGCAACAAACCTGTTTCCAACATTTCTTTGTTTTTATAAATCTGTGAATTTTTGTTAATCGTTGTGATGTTGAGCATTTTGTTGACGTTTCACTTTGCAGCTTCTTTCAAGGTCAGATTTCAAAATGCATTTTCCTAAACATGCATTAATGTTCAGTGTAAGTTTCAGTATGCAGTGACATGCAGGTCATTTACTGCCATGTTTATTTCATTTCCCTGGAGTTTCAGGTGATTTGATTCAGCAGGTTTTTCAACCTTGAGCCCAACAATGTCCTTGACAGTCGTTTCTGTACAGTTCAGAGTCTGTTCAATGTCTCTTTTTCTCAAGTGGTCACAGCCTTAAAGTTTCTGTAACCACATGTTATAAGTGTTTATACACAGCTGTTCACAGAAAAAAGTATTATTTCAACCACATTAACTGTGTTGTTATATTTTTGATATTAAAAAAGTCAGAAACTTCGTAATGTCTATTCTTAAATCAGTGTAACAGGTTGTGTTCAAACTAAGTGTCACAGCCAACCAGAGTAAAATTCATTCATTCATCCAACTTGAGGCTGCCTTAGGTAAAAAAGACTCTATCACTCAAAGCCATTTCTCCACCTTCTCCTATTTTCTACTCTTCTGCCTTTGCATATGTTCATTCCATCCACGTCCCTTATTATTTAGCATTTTCTTCTTTTCAATTTCACAAAACTGTTCCCTCTCCTCCCTCCAGGTTACGCCCTGCTGCCACCTGGTAAAGCAGACAACCTGTCGGACTCCAGCCACAGCGAGATCTCCTCCCGCTCCAGCATCTGTTCCGTGGACTCAGTGCCGGCTCCCGGGCTCGAAGACCGGTGTAACAGCAGTAACAGAGCCTGTAGCATGCCGGCTGCTGTCACTGCCACAGCCACCGCGACGACAGCTGCTGCAGTTGTAGAGAGCACAGCAGCGACACAAGCACACTCAAATGCTGATTACAACCAGCCCAGCACAAGGTTGTTATACTTAAATTCATCTAATCTGTCTGGTTATGTTTTTTAAATTTGTGGAAACAGAGCATCTGCTTTTTCTTTTTTTTTAAAGCCAAGATCTAAATAATCAAGTCAATGTTTTAGTATGCACTTAAGTACCAGGTGTCCCTCAGCTTTGACCTACAAAACAGTGTCATTATCTAAGTGAGAATCTGGGTTTCCCCTGCTACATATCCTCTGGAGATCACTAACCAGGTTTCAACTCGTCCTTTTATATGCATACACGTGTGACAAAGAGTTTAAAGTGATGCTGTGACGGCTCAACAGCAAGATGAGAGGAAAAAGATCCTCCTCATATCGATAGTTAAACCATTACAGGAAGCGAACACGACTCCAGGAGCCACTGGAATCTTAAATGAGTCACTTACTACTTTCTGACTCTTTCTGAATTCAGACACATTCGTGCTGCAGGGTTTTCTTATGGGAGTCTGTTGCATCTCTACAGTACTGAAGGTAATCCATGCGTTCCATATAAGGTCATGGTCAGGGGAGAAATGCTAATACTGACCTGCTGTATTTATACACAGATTTAGAGTTACCGGGTTACTGCAGTGCATGATAACCTGAATACGAGTTTCTTGAGTGCATACTGACTTATTGTGTATGAGTCTTTATAAGAATTTTTAACTAATATTCACAACAACTACCAAGAATTAAAACCTTTGCTGATAAGGTGAGATCATATAAGGTGGTGTCAGTGCAGAATCCCTTTTAGCCCCTTCACTTTTAGTGTCACAGGTTAAATCCATAGGATTCTTATCAACATAGTAAATCGCAATTTTTTCTAACACAACCAGTTTGGGGGTTCACCAAAGATGGAAATAATCAAATCATACAAATAAGCCTCATTCAAACGCGACTGATATGACTTCCTCCCTCATATTAATGTCATTTCAGACATGTGGATGGTTTTATCTTCAAACTGGTCCTACACAAACATACACACACAAACGCATAGACATCAGGAGCCTTCCCCAGTAGCCAAAAAGACAACGCACACACACACACACACACACAGTCTGTTACCTTAAGCCGCTTCTGGATTTCCACTCCCAGCTGGATCCCAATTATGTCCTTTCCTCATTAAAACTAAGAGAACAGGAAGTCGTTAAACACACCAGGTTTTTATTGGCGTCCCACATTTACTGCCCTCCTCTCTCCTCCCTCTGTCCGTTAACAGCGTTTCGTTTTTCACGCAGGCGCCTTTTTAATCTGGCTGAGTAAACAACAAACCCCTTTTTTATTGTCTGCTGTTTGTTTATTGTTCCTCCATGATCAGACCGTTCTGTCTCATAAAGAATGGACTATAAAATATCACCGGACAAAACAATCCGTCTGCTTCTCTGATATTATATTACCTTGGCAGCCTTGCTGTTTAATAACGACTCTGTTTTTATGAAATATTGCTGGGTTTCATTGAGTGGATTATTTGTCCAGTAAAACGCTGTCAGTGAATCAAACTGCAGGTTTATGAAAAGGAGGAGAAAAAGTTTTATTGTTTTTTTTAAAGCCCAGACCTGGTGATACATCAAATCCAAATGTTTCTTTTCTGATTTTGTAAATGTACAGACAACAGATGACCTTTGATTAAACCTTTCTCTTTTATCTGCTCTAGTTCGTCGTCGACAGCGAGAGGATACGTGACGCGAGCCTCTACCTTCACCTCATCCATCTCAACTGAGGAGCTGACCCCAGACCACACCTCTCTGGACTCAGTGGCCGACAGCGGCCGTGGCAGCTGGACGTCCTGCTCCTCCAACTCCCACGACTCCTTCCAGAGCCTCCCCGCCTCCTCCTGCCGCCCCTGGGACCACGGCATCCACGGACACCCGCTCTCCCTGCCGCACACGCACCTGGCTGGCTTCAAGCACACGCAGCTGGCCAGGCCGATAGCGGAGGTCGAGGCCGCGGGTCACGCGTGGGCGAGCGAAGGCGCCGCCAAGCAGCACGCCAGAGACTCCAGCTCGGAGCTGTCCAATCAGTCGCGGCAGAGCTGGGCATCGTCCAGCTCGCTGTCGGACACCTACGAGGGGAATTACGGGACGATAAAGCGGCGAAACACCTCAGAGCGCCCCTCCTCGCCGAGCAACGAGGAAGGAGGTCAAAGCACAGACCCTGCCTACAAAACGGTGACATCAAGCACAGACAAGGGCCTGATAGGTGAGGGATCAGGTTGCGAGTTTGATTCCCTGTGAACACAGTGTTACAGTGTTCAGCTCTGTCGCCGTTTAAAGTTCAGTTCGTAAAGCTGCACAGATTTTCATTCAGTGAGACATCGGCTTCTAATATTAAATATGAGAGTGGCTGCTCACATTTTGTGTCAGAATCACATGAACTAAATCAAACTGTGTCTCGCTGTTTTTTGAATTAATTACTGCAGCTTCCTGTTGCTTGATTTGCTGTAATTCTCAAGTGAACAGCTGCTAAATGATGCTGTTTGGCTCTCATCTTTTTAGATAATGCGCCAAACAGGTCTAATTCTTGTCACTTGCTGGTTCTGCAGCTGACAGGAGCGTCCTCATCGCCCACACTGTAAATTTGTTCGAGTCTAGTTTCATGATAAACTGTAGGAATATGAGAATAATATAAACTGTTAGACAGTTTTTGACTTAGACTAGTGGATAAACAGATAATGAATGGACAAAACCGCTGATAATCGATTAATCGTTCGGGTCAAGCATTCTCTGCTTCCAGCTTCTCAAAATTTAAAAAGAGTTAAATCTGCTGTAATTGTTATATCTTCAGAAAACAAGCACTTTGCTCTCTATGAAAAATGATGACGGGTATTTTTCACTGTTTCCTGATGTTTGAGAACCAAACTATTAATCGATTATTCTGATATCGGCAGATGATTCCTGAGTGAGTGTGCTCATTAGTTGCAGATCTAGTTCTGTCTGTATCTGCTGCATCCATCTCATCCGTTTTATATTTTCTTTTCATCTTCGACACATTTTGCTGCATGTATAGTTGTGTATTTCGTTAGTGAAACATCACGTTGATTTTATTTACCCATTATTTTCTTTTGTTTCCCACTCCCCCCCTCACTACAACTATTCCATTCCTTCCTATTCATTCCCCTTCCCCGTCACTCATCATCCCTCACTTCCCTTCCTCTTTTCTCCACCCCCCCCCTCCTTTTCTTTTGATCTGCACCTCCATCCAGTGTATTGTGTCACCTCCCCCGCCAAGGATGAGCGTTACCGTGCTCCCCCTCCCACCCCTCCAGGCTACCAGGGTCTGGCTCTGGGGGATCTCGGCCTCACAGACGGAGTAGTGGGTGGGCCCGGAGGTCTCGTTCCCAGGCCTCCTCACCTCAAACCTCCGGACTACAGCGTGGCGCTGCAGAGGAGCAAACTCCTGCAGAGCCCTGGAGCAGCAGGCAGTTTGGCTGAAGCGCGGAGGCTGGCCGGTAACCATCAGGGCTACTCCAGACCGCCCAGCATCTGCCTCCCACCGCAGGAGCTGGCCGACAGTGAGGATGGTACGATCCCTTAGGATGATGAAATGATGAATTAACCGATACAAAAACATTTATTTATTTCTCCTCCACCAAACAACAACATAAACAAGACTTAGCTCTTGGTTCTTACGTGTTAGTTGACTCATCAAATCTGTTTTATGACCAAAGTCTGACAAAAAAAAGATTTCTAATATAACAAATTGTTTCTCTTTTTGACTTGTTGCTACTTGAAGGATTCACTCATCCAAACAGACACATGTCCATGTTTTGTGATCACAGTGACACGTTTATCTCTGTGCTCTCATTAGTTTTTGTCTAAAGACAATGATCAACTTTCATGTTCAAGTTTGGCCTGATCAATGTCTCCAGACTAAACCTGGAACATTAATAGTAAAAACTGTATTTTAAGACTCTATGGGAATCTGGTGAGTTCATCAGCAGCACGTTGGTGTTTTCTCTCTTGACTAAACATCATCTTCTTTTGTCTTCTAGATGAACAAGTGTCAGCGGTGTAAAGGAGGTGACGTCACACTCACATATTCTCACTCATGGACCAGGTCATGTGGATCAGGCTTTGGACTAAGTTAGCAGCCTGCCGCCACTTCCTGTCAGAGCACATTCTCCACGCCTTCCCCCCACAGATCCTTGTGTGACACCACCATGGACCATAATGCACCTCTGGACCTCATCCGATGGTTCATGTTACCGCTCTCGCCACCTCCAGGGACTCATATCATCGTGTTTTTTAAAAAACGATTCAACAAAACGAAGACGAAAAGCAGGATTTTTTTTAAAACTCAGAAGAAAAGGCAGCGTGATGCGGTCACATCGCGCTCGATGGACGTCACAAAATGGACAAATCTACGAAGGAATGAGAGACAGTGACGATGCCTCATGAGTAGAAGTCAGCCTCCTTGGAAACAGACCACCATGTACCTCCATTTTGTGCTGCCAGCTCTCTTGTCTCTTTGTTTTTCACAGTTTTAAAGTTGTACAGCGATTTTTCTTTGTATAAAGTTTTTCTTCTTCTTCTTCTTCTTCTTTTCATTTGCATCTTTGAGCTTTACAGAGTTTTTATATGAGAACAGCGAGGAGGAGCAGACAAAGGGATTGAGCGACAAAACGCTCGTAGGACTTTTTTTGATTTTTTTGCTGTTTTTGTTGTCTTCTCAAAAGAAGATGAATGTAGACGAATACGAGACAAGAAAAATGACTGATATTGAGATTCATGGCCTGCCTGGCACTGATAATGTAAATTCACATGAGTAACATCAGTTCCAATGCACAAATAAACCAACTTTATTTTCCCAAAACCAACACGTGAGGTCAGGAAAGTCCTCAGGTGCCATAAAGAGCCCCTCCACATATTCTCTCCTTCCTCTTTTTGGAGAAATGAAACAGAACTAACAGAGAGCACGTCTGTTTGTGTTTAGCACTTATTGTACTTTGTTGAGCTTTTATAGTAAAAAAAAAAAAAGAAGACAAGCAGCATCTCTCAGGCGTCTCTGTGTCGTGCTCTCCTCTCACCTCTCTTATTGCTCGTTCGGCCTGATGCGAGGTACTTTAGCCGCATGCTGCCTCCTGGATGTTCCATAAAAAATAAAACTATATCGTAACTCTTTTTTTTTTAATGAGCTGAAGAACAAGCGCTTCGCTGCTTCCCGTAGAGTAAAACACGTGCTGTTATTTTTATTGCACAAGCTACGACAGAAACGATAAATTAGCACTGAGTGGCCACACAACGTGCATGCGTATACACTCACACACTCACTGAAACTGTAGTTGGTGTGGTAAGAGAAAAAGGACGGTGTTTACACGGATGCTTACACGTTTTGTTTACAGTGTTTATTATAAGACTTGTTGTCTATTGAATTACGAGCTGAAATGTTAGTTCTACAGGTTCACTTTGAAATTGTACATTTGTTTATAATGCAGCAGGAATATGCAGACGCAGCGTTAACGTCGACTACTTGTACCTCTCTCATCTCTTTTTTTTTTTTTTTTTTTTGCTTCATGATGTATAATTTTTCTCCTCATGATGTATTTTAACGCCCGGCTCGCTCATTCGCTGTTGATAGTAGAATATTTAAAGGATGTGCTTGAGAATTGCTTGTGTTCAGACATTCAGAGCAACATTTCTGTAAAAAGCAAAATGTATTTTTATGTGTTGCTCAGCGCTGCAGCAGGGGGGGTGCAACTGGAAGTTACTGGACGTTTCTTTTCCTTCTGCCGTCTGTCTCGCGCCGAGTGACGCTTCTTTTGTTTTGCCACACAAAGACTTGAAATGATTATTGCTAATATATACAAGGCAAATATATATATATATGAATTTATACATATATATTTTTGTTGGTTCTCTGCCATAAATTAATGTCAAGTGATCATGTATAGATGAGAGAAGAGAGTCCTCTATAAATGCTATTTTTGAATATTTTGTTATAAGAAATGATCCGTGGCTGTGATTGCCCTCCGTCTGTCTGTGGGCAGGAGTCTGAAAAGGAACTTTGAGTTTATCCTTATCCTCGTTCTTGACATGTTTTTTTTTTTTTTTCCCTTCACACTCTGTTGTTGGTGCCATTTCTGAAATGTCTATAAGTGAAATTGCTGCTGTGTTTTGGGATATGACTGTGTGTGTGTGTGTGTGTGTGTGTGTGTGTTTTGAAATTACATTTGCGAGGACGTGATCAACATAGAATTTAAAGAAAACCCATTTAGATGCAGTCTGGGCTCAGAAGTCATTTTCAATAAAAGCCCTTCTTATTTGCTCTCGCCTGCAGAAAGGTGGGCCCCTCGTGGGGCCCCCTGCTGTCTGCATCATGGCACAAGGTGAATTCATTCAAACTCAGATTGGATAATTGAAAGGAGTTTTTAGATGCTATTATATTCCGGTGTGTTTGAACTGAACAGCCACAATGCCACGTTCTCTCCGATCCCTTCCTCTTTCTCGTCTCTGTCACCTCAGCAGGACTCAAACTGTTTTTCCTCCTCACAGTCGTCCTCCGATGGATTTCACTCCATCGCTTCAGGAACTTTATGAATCAGCAGAGTCCACTGTGACCCCTGAGTTTCTTTTTATAATCTGAAAACGATCTCGATGGTAGAAACTTTGAAACAGACTGAGAGTCAAACTGACACCTCCTCTTCTTTTTTTTTTTGCACAACTGTTTTACTCAGATTCTAAACTACAAATCAGTATTAATGTTCTGCATAGATTTAAAAGAAAACTGGCCCGTGCTGCTTCTGTTAGTCGCCCCGGTCGTGAATGATGAGGAGTTCAGTCAGAAATCGTAAGATTTTTAAGCTGCTTTCAAACGTTGGATCGGGAGCAAACAGTTGTTTTTTTCTTTTTAAATGAAACGTCGGCACATGATTAACTCTTTGTTGATGTAGAAGTTATAATAGAGTTAGTTTTGTTCCTTGTCTTTGCTCTATTAGCACTCCACGTGCTCCTCTCGGTTTCTTTCAGGGCTAAATTTCACTCAGTAAACCTCTGTCCTCCTCGCTTACATACGCTCGGTATGTTTCCATGGAGAATCTGACAGTGAGCAGCTCTCGACACTGTGAACACAAGATTTTTGTGTTGTGAAAGTGTCACCCCCCCTCACAGCTTGATGAAAACCTGCCTGACTGTCATTTAGCCCCAGTGTCCCGCCGCTGTCCCTGGAATGCAATAAGAGAGATGTGAATGTGTTCGATGTCGACATCTTTTTTTGGCATTATTGCAGAAATGCACAACAATAAGCTTAAATGTGGTGACTGTGCTGCACAATCTGTACAAAGAGGTATTAACTTGGTCTGTGGCTTAAAGTTTGCTTTTGTCTCACTTCTCATAGCGGTCGTCAACTTATGTCTTTTAGAAAGACAACATGATTTTTGCTTGTACGCTTTTTATGTATTTTTTACGAGTGACTGTAAATAGTTGTTATATTTTTGTTTAAGAGAATGTTGAAAAGGAAAAAAATGACCTTTTATTTCTCCAAGTCTACTGATATGAATTTGGACAATGAATAAAATAATAAGCAGAAAGGATCATGTCTTTATTTGTGGGCGGAGTTTTGGTTAACAGTGATGTTCACGTCATGGCGACACCTGAGGAAAGATATTATTTATATCAATGAACGTCTGGACCACAATCATCAGAAATCAATATCATCAGTATTGCAATATAATATTCATCAATAGCGATGTAACAAGTCCAAAATGTTTCAGTGGTGGGATATAACGAAGTACATTTACTTTGTTATTGTACTAAAGTACATTTTTCATGTCTCTGTACTATGTCATCTATTTTTTTGGTCCCTCCTCTTGCAGCAGCAGCATCACTGGTAAGTATTTTTACTTTTAAAGTGAGTACTTACTTTGAATCAAATAGACACGTTAATGTACTACTCTTACTTGAGTAGAATGTGTGAGTACTTGTACGTTTGTCGCTCATACAGAAGAGTTTCAAACCACAACCTTCAAAAATCACTGTTTAAACTTTAAACAGAAATGACGATGTGATATTTATCATGATAGGATGTCAAGGAAGAATCTTTTGATTTAATTTTTGGCCATATGTTCACAGCCCTACGTCTCTTCTCTGTCACACTTTTCAACTGTTCTCAGTTCTGTCCTCTCGCCGTGTCTCCACCTTCTGCTGCATTCAGCTCAACATCAGATCTGATCAGAGATGTATTCGCCGTCGTGCTGCGTTCAAGGTCAGGGAGCTTTTTATTACTCATTAAAGGTTTACTGTCACACAGAGGGGAGGGAAGTCACGCTGCTCAATCTGTCTAATGTGTGTGTGAGAGAGGAACAATACTCCAGGCTGTGTGTGACTGTGTGTGACTGTGTGTGACTGTGTGCTGCCTTTCCTCTGCAGATGCATGTGTGAAGGCTAAACTGAGAACTAACCTTGTCTGTGAGTTTCTCATAGTCACAGGTTTGATACCGGACCTACCTCCCATCATGAGACTGTAAACACCAACTTTTTATCATTTGTAAAGCAACTTAAACTTTGCTGGACTGAAAATCCAAACGTGAAACGTAAAACTATACTAAAATTTCCGTAACATTTATCAGAAGATCATTACAGTGTTCCCAAATGGATAAAGGCCTCTGTCCCACTCTCCTTCCGATTTCTCTTTCTCTTCACAATAAAGGTGAAGTAGTTTATCTGAGATTAACGTGCAGTTGTGTAAAAGATCAGGAGACTGGAGAGTGTGGGAACATGTCGACCACATGTTCCCACTGTTGAGGTTTTAAAGGTTTCAGGTGTAACTGTGACACAACTGCTCTGTTTTCAATGTCAAGAATAAATGTTAAATTTCTTACAAGAGAGAATGGGAGAGCACCAAAGTCCCAAAAGTCCCAGCAGCCACTGGGGTCTAGACGTCTAAAGACCATTTTAAAGCTCTGGTTGAATTCTGGTAGCTGTGGAAATTGAGTTTGGATTGATTAAAAAGTATTTTATGTTTTACCTTACTGTTGGACCATTCTGGTACTTTTTGTTTCTGAGTTTTGAGAAATCAAATGGAAAAATATAATTTCTGCCATGGAGGTGATAACAAAAAAGTATGTGCTCAAATACATTTATAGAATTCAGCAGCAACCTGGAACTCTAGAAGACAAAGAATCTAAAATCATAGAAAAACTATAGAGAGACTAGAAAATGTCCAATTAGATTATAATAGTTTTTCTAGAATTACACCACCACTTTCTTTAGTAGTAGTAGATCCGTCTTACTCATCACCTTGTATATTTAAATGCAGTGTGGCTTTTATGTCACAAGTATAATTGTGATGATATTAAGCTGTTCAGCAAACTCAGGTGTACGCTAAATATCACTGTGCACCAAAGTCACACAGGACGACACAGACCCATGAAAATCTGACGGACTCAAACGACATTTAGTAAACTCTTGCTCATCCCGACTCTGGACAGCATCTGAGCTGCTCTTTACTGACGCTGCTCCTCTTAGTGTAATGAAGACAGGTCAGGGTGCTGTGGGGGCGGGGGGGGGGGGGGGGGGCGTGTTAACCAGCATGTTCAAAGAGCGGCTCTCTCCATTTCAGAGAGAATATTCCACAGCCATGAGAGAAGCCAAAGTTCAGCTCCAAGTGGGATTCAGTGGGAAATTACACACAGCTTCAATTATACATCACAAAGAGTCAAAGAGAAATGCTTGGATGGGGGGGGGGGGGGGGGGATATAGGAAGACGTGAACTTGTACTTGGATATTTGTGAGGACCATTCTGAGCATAGACCTTACTAAGTGAGGACATTTTGAGAAAGTGAGGATCGGCCAAAATGTCCTGACTTTTTTAAAGGCCTGTTTGAGGGTTAAGACTTTTAAGGTTTTAAGATTAGGGTTAGAATTGGGTTAATGTTAAGGTAAGGGGCTGAAAATGCATTATTCCAGTGAGTGTCCTCACTAAGATAGAAGTACAAGAGTGTGCGTGTGTGTATCACACCTCTCTCCTCTGTTTCGTCTTTGAAGTTGTGACTTTGTCAGGAGCAGAAGCCGAGAGCAGGAGGTGGGAAAACGGAAGCTTTACCACCTGAGGGTTGTGTGCACACATGGGGGGTTTGGCTTTTAGCATATTCCTGTCTAAATTAAAATTTGTGAGGCAAAACAGTTCGGAAAGTATTCCGTCACCTGTACAGCCTCAGCACCGCCCTTGAGCGCATGTATAGTCTGTGAGTGTGCATTTGCTCTCACATGCATTGATGAGGAATAAGTTGGTTTTCCTCATGTGTTGTTATCCCTCAAGTATTTCGTAATTTAAAATCTCGATTGTTGCCTATATGCCTCGTTATTGTAGTTTTAGCATGAATGAAAAGTTTGATATCTTGGAGTAACCCTACGATGACTCAGTGCTGCGCTGCCATAAAACTGGAGGACTTGCAAAAGATGTCCGTACAAGACTGTAAAGATTAATGGTGAAAATCGAAGCAGCTGGAGTGTCATGGCAGTGAAGCAGCAACCATGAAACCTCTGTTTCATCATTTCCTGTCTCCTCCATGCTGACATCTCCCTCCACTTCATTTACCGTCTATCCCTCCCTCCATTAATGAAGCTCATTTAATAGGTTACTTTAATAAAGGATCAGCACTTTCACTCAAATTGTCAGTGTGTTAAAGAAGAGGAGAAGGTGAGCAGTCAGTGTTTTATCCACCGTGCTGTAAAATGAGGGATTTCATCCAATACCAGTGAAACACTATGAACGGCCTATGACACTTTCCTCTCACACACAGACACTACTATACAATTTCAACAGTGTTGACATGAGGTGTGTGTATATATATATATATATAAATATATATAAAACCCTTGTGATAGAAAAATTATGAGTTATTATAACTTGAATTTTAAAAATGAATGTGATTTACATAAAATTTAAACATACATTAATATCTTTTCTGTATTATTTTATTCTGTTAAATAAAAGTTTTATTATCGGTGCAAGCGATTAACAAAAACATCAATACCTACATTTCTGTGAAAGGGACATTTTTGCAGAGACATGACGTGAGGGGATCGATAGAAAATCAGAGGCAAAGATATCATTGTCCTGGGAGAACGTGTAAATGTCAATCTTTTTTTCTTGCTGCATATAAATGAAGATTTGTCCTTTTCCTTTTTATCAAATCTTCTAGACTCCCAGTTTCTGCCTTTCCGGATCATTTGAGGGGCACAGAGTTGCATGTTGAGGACCCTTCAGGGTCGCTGTGGCAATTTGTCACCAGTCCTCAAGGCTTCCTGTGGCTTGTAAAGAGGTGGAGGTCAGCGTCCTTGTGTCTTACTGTCCTCAACAATGTCAGCAGGGCAGCTCAGATAAATGACCTGACAAACCCGCAGAATGTTACTGAATGTGTAGAGGCCCACAGGTCATCCTTCACACTGCTGTTTCCAAACACTTTGTAATGTCACTGTGTTTCTCTGAGTGGCCTCTGCTTTCACAAGGAAGTTCTGGATTCATTTGTTTCTGCAGCAGATTCACAGTGACAGAGGCGTCTGCTGATTATTAAAAGACTGTTCCATATTTGAACTATAAGTCAACACACAGTCCAATGTTCCTCTCTTGTTTTGACAGACAAAGGCAGTGCACTGTTGTGATGTCAGTCATGTGTTGCTGTGTTTAAGAAAAATCACATCAACTAATCTGACTGTAGTGACCCTGAGAATCTCCTATTGTTCCACTGACAGCCATAAGGGGGCACTGCTGTGTTGTGGGAAACGCTGCTGGAATAACTGCTCCATCTGTATCCACAGGACAGATCAGTGAAGAACACTATTTAGGGCCATATCCCCCCCAGAGACTGGCCATCCCATTAAGGTGCAAATTACAAACGCATTGTCCATGTTGGAGCAAAGTATCCCTGGCTGTGTGGAGGTGATTATATCCGTCTCAAATGTCTCGGTGCTGAAGTTTCTTCCATTTCTAAAAAAAGTACATTTTGGTTCCTATAGTGCTGCTTCCTCCGTACAGAGGTTTAACTGTTGCTTTTGTCGTTTGCTGTTGTTAATTTGAACTGAAGAGTCAACTGAATT